GTGCAGGTGTCCATGGAGGTCAGAAGAAGGCATCAGATCTCCTGGAACTGGAGTTAGAGAACGTTGTGAGCTGCCTGATGTGGGTGCTGGAAGAGCAGCAAGTGTTCTCAACAGCTGAGCCATCTCTCCAGCCCCTAAATACTCTTCTTTAGCCTCTCTTTTTGTGGGTCACTCATTGATCCCCTTCCCTAACATATACCACCCATATATGTCAGTCAGGCTAACCTCACCTTCCAAGAGCTGGAATTTCAGGAGTTTGCCACCATACTAGAGTTTGAATTGAATTTTTTATAACATAAAATATATATTCATCAAACAAATGAGGGTAAACCATTCATGATTAACTTATACAAGGAATGAGATGACAGTTTAGTGGAAATGTGTTTAGATTTGTTCTTTTCTGCTTATTTATTCTTTGTATTCTTTATTATTATTTATTTTATTTTTCTGTTCTTCATTACTACTCTGTTTTCTTTTTTATCTTTGAAGATTTACTACAATTTGATACTGAGCTGATTCTTCTGTCCCCAGCCACCAACTTGTGTGTGAAACATTTAGGGAAATTCCACATGGGGAAACGGCAGAGTCCAGGGACCACCACTCCAGATAGGGAGCATGGCATGGTGATTACTTTAAGTAAAGACATTCAGAGCAGACACTGGGCAGGTCTTTAGTATCCCCTCATCTGCCTAAAGTCCTGAGTCAGCTAAGCAGAGAACATTCACCTCTGGTCCTCCCCACTCAGTGTTAACTGCCTCACGTGGCAGGAACCTGTCAGCATCCTGGGCAGACTTGCCACACACCATCTTCATCTAGCTCAGTCCCATTCAGTTCTCCAAGGAAAGTGATTTTCAACCATTTACAAACCAGTCTGTCCTCTGGACCCACCAGGACATTGCATGTTCTCCAAGTCCATAGATGTCTGTAAAAACCATCTGCTGTCCTTTGACATTCTGCATTCTCCTCCCACGTAGAAAAGAGTACCAAAGCTCTCATATAGCCCAGGCTGTTCCTCCACTCCACGCAATCCTCCTGCTTCAGTCTCTGGAGTGGTAGGAAAAAATCATGAATACCAAGTCCACTCAGAACAAGCAGTTCTTGAATCACAGTCTATGAAATCACTGACTTCATGGGATCCAGAAGATCTTAATATTTTCATGTTTCTAGAATTTACTTTCAATGTTTACTTAGTTGTACTTGACAGAGTTAACTGTTGACCCTTTAGTATGAATGAAAGTTGTGCAAAGTTCAATAAGAGGTCTTACAATTTCCACCATAACTGACTTGCGTAGTAAAAAGGGAAGTTTCACCTTCTAAAAGTCTTTTTTAAAAAATCAGGTCTCATGCACAGCCCAAGCTGGCCTTAAACTCATGGCAAACCTCCTCCTTCAGCTTAATAGCCCAAATGCGGGAATTACAGTTCTGGGCCATGGTGCTTGGCTTTTGTTTCTGTATTTAACATGATAAATGTCCATAGATGTAATCTCCATAAAATCTCTTTGAGGTCCTCAATAATTTGTAAGTGGCATACAGAGATACTGAAACCAAAACGTTGAGATTTCTGCTTCACCCAGCTCCTGGCCAGGACGCAGGGAAACACTGCTAGAGCACTGGGCGCAGGAGGAGGGTTGTTGGAAGAGCCCATGGTCTCAGGTGTGGTCTTCGAGGTGTCTGAGGTGGCTGAAGCCTGGGGCTGGGGACTCAGGGCCCCTGGTTGTATTTCTCCCGCTCACCTGCTGTGTCAGCTGTCAAGTCCTTCTCTCCAGACACATGTTCTCCTCCCACTGCATGACAGGATTCTGGAGAAAGCCACTCAGTCACTGCGGTCTCTCACCACACGTCACAAAGTCCACAGAGAGGAAACAAGTTTCAATCTCTCCAGGTCTTCCAAACAAGCAGGATGAGGACCATGGAGAGTCTCTTCCTCCTCCCGCTGCTCACTGCTGCCCTGGCCTTGACCCAGACCCGTCCAGGTGAGTGTGGAGTCCGGAGAGAAAGGGCCTCTGCTGGGAAGAGCTAGGGCGCTGCCAGGGGTGTGGGGGAGTGTGGGGGTGTGCGGGGGGCTG